CATCTATGCAACGCTATGGGTGAAAATGAACAATGTTTTCACCTATAGGCTCATCACCGTCCAAAAAATCGGCAGCGTGCATTAAGCATCTATGCAACGCTTATGGGTAAAAATGAACAATGTTTTTGCCCATAGGCTCATCACCGTCCGAAAAAATTGGGCAGCGTGCATTAAGCATTTATGCAATGCCTATGGGCAAAAATGAACAATGTTTTTATCCATAGGCTCATCACCGTCAAAAAATTGGGCAGCATACGTTTTTTGATCGCCATGGAGGTGGTAAAAAAATTCACGTAGAACTGCAACGGACAGCGCCGTTCGTTGTGGGTTCGTTCAATAAGCTGTCATGGACATAGCAAGTCCGTGATGGAGGCGAAACACTGTAGCATTTACCTATAAGCGTTTTTTAGGTTTTTCCTATATATATATATATATATACTACTGAATATTTTATTGTTTTTAAATAATTGAATAACTTTATCTCTCTCTTTTTATATTTTAAATGATTAATATTTAGAAAACTTTAAGATAGTTAAAAACATTCAAAATATACATAGAACTTGAAAAAATATTAAAAATGTTTTCCCAATTTACTATACGACTCCAATGGTAAAATAATTGAGATAAAAAACTCTGTGTTTTATGAATATTTGATACGTGAACCCCTACCATTTGTGGCTACGGCCTCAAGTCGGTAGCAATTTGCCATTGACTTAGAACATTGTGGTCTCCTATAGGTTTAAATATTTCAAAATTTTCACTTATTTTAAAATCTTCTATTGAATAAAAATTAAATATATATCCTTATCATATTTATAGTATCTAAACAAAAAGAAAATTATTTCACTATTTCAATAACTATAAAAGTAAGGGTATATATCTGTTTCGAAATTATCGCTAATATTCCTGTCTTTTTCTAAAAAATTTAACAATACCAAATTTTCCCCTTTTTCATTTTTATACCTAAAATTCTCTCACTACAGATCTATTAGGTATGTAACACTAGAAAGCAATATGGATCTAACAGATTTGTAGCAGTTTTCACCACCGTGGACCTGACAAGTCCATAGTGCCATTGTGATGAATCTGTTAGCTGCAAGAAGCATCAAAATTTCCACGGGTACGTAGTGTCATTGCTATCAATTTGTTAGGTTATAGTTGCAATAACTGCTGCAGATATGTTAGATCTGTATCACTTTCCAGTGCTACGGACTTAACAAATCTGCAGTGGGTGCATCTTAGGTTAAAAAATAAAGTAAGGAGAAAAATGTGTATGGGCATAATATATGAAACTTTTATGTTTTGTTTAAATTTTGGAAAATATGAGGGATTTTGGAGATAATTTCCCCATCCATTATTTTGTTGTTGAAGTTATTTATCTTATTGGAAAAATATTTCTCTCTATTTTATATATGTCAAGGTTTCATCAATTTAATTGAAAAAAAAAGAGTGTTTCTCTCGTTGTCATCAATCCCAAAGTCTTCTGTATATTTGGAATTTTTTAATTATTTCAAAGTCTTTTAGATATTAAAAAAGTTAAAATTGGAAACTATGATACATGAGGAGATAAGTGCTTTTAATTAAAAGGTGAAGGTGCCCACTTTAAAATAGTACACTAGCCAAACCCTGGCAGATGTAGTTTATGTCTGAAACCTGGCAGAGAAATCTATTTCAACCTCTAATTATGAAAGTAAAACTTTCAAATATATAAACACTTAAAAATCTTGAAATTGAATGGTCTGGATAATTTTATACGCTCTTTTTAGGATTTGAAACCCGTTTCTTTTTCACATATGTATTCAAAATCCTATTCAAAATCCAGATGATTAATTGAAGAGTTTCCAAGCATTGAAGCCGCATTTTCCGATAGGTTTTTTTAGGCGCACCTTGCTTTTATGGGATAAAGTTGGTATCTTGCATTAATTTTTTCTTTGATTAAACAGAAATACCTAAAAAAGTTTGAAATAATTCAAAAGATACGATGTCCGATAGTTATGGCAGACTATGTAAGTCATTGGAAGAAATGAGGCGGGAAAATGACACGGGTCACAGAAATTTCAAAAGAGAAAATAAGATTTGGAGAGGCGACAATCTGTATTTGGTTCAAATCAGTGTTAAATTACTCAACTCGGGCTTTGGACTTGGCAGTTGCACAAAGTCCATCTTTTCTTGCTCTAGTTTCCTCCCAAGCACCATTGTTGGAGCTTCTTATCTCAATCTGCCTCTTCATTCTTCTAATCTCTCGACTGGAGCCTTTCTGGTGATATTCCCAATGGGGAAGAGAAGTGACGAGAGAAAGAAACCAGAAAACCTTTGATATTTAGAGAGAAGAAAAGGCAATGCAATTGAAATGGATAAAAGCAAGACTCTGCTCCGAACCACGACAAATGCGGAGAGTGAAATGGGACACATGGAAGGCTCTTGAAGGGAAATACAAGGATGAGGTGATGAGCTACTCATCACTAT